AATTTTTTAAAATAAATAAAATGAAAAACTTTATTGATTGTTCGATAACATGTTTTGGTGGTATAGTCTCAACAAAAATATTAATATAGTTTATCATTAATAGTGTAAGAACATTAACACGTTTACGGTACCATGATTCACACATTAATTTTAATTATAATTATAATAATCAAATAATTATCTGACAATTTCAAATAAGAAGGTAATAGTTACGTAAAGTTCAAAAGGTCACATGCTACGAGTGTAATTAACCACGAAACCATTTCGAAACTTGTGGTACGACATTTTGTACTCTTTAAAAGTAAACTGTATGTTGTTGCTCTTAAAAAGTAATTCTGGTTCTCAAAGTTTCAGCTTAGATGTCCGAACAGTGAACGTGTTAAGTATACGCTGACGCTTAACACTTTGAGTGCCTAATTAACCCCACACAATCTTCGCAAGGTTAATTTAAAACAGTGCTTCCCAACCTTCTTCCGTTTATGTACTATTTGGCAAGCTATTTTTGTAAATTATACTCCCACGTTAGTGAAACGTTTGTAACTTTGTTCAAATGTTAGTTGTTTCAGTGATTACTGTAAATAAACAGTCTAATAATAAAAAAATAATAATGGAATGATTATAATTATTATGACACTAGCAAAATATATACTGAGTTCAAGATTACACTTAGCTGATATAAAAACTATATTATATTAATTAATATATTGAAGATTCAACATTCAATTTAACAATACCGAAAATATTTAATGTTTCGATATTCTTGATATATACTGAAATTTTCGTACGATGCTTAAATTTATTTTAAAACAAATGAAGATATGAGGTATAAGAAACAAAAATATATATGTAGAAGATTTTTCATTTTCCTTTTATGATACATTTTTTCTCTCGATTCATTTATTTATTCGTTCATTTTTTGATTTAAATATTGGTCATAGATACATTACAGATGTTTATACAAAATCCAGCCTATATAAATTTATTTTCCAAACATCAAATAAGATAGAAAGTTGCTTTTTTTATAAACAATTCCGACTTATCAAAAATAATATAGAAAATCAAACTTTTTTGTCACATTATTTTCACTGTATTTTGTGCAATCAAGTAGAATGCATGGATATCCACGATACAAATATAATTGTTCTTTCTTCAACCCTCACCAGCCTTAACCCTTTCTCCTATAATATCGTATCAAACTCACAATGAAAATTTTCAAGTGAATTCGACAAATCTAAATTTTTTTATTTTTTATTTATTTCATTATTTATACAGATGAAATATCGCTTGTCTATTATTAATCTTTCACTTATAGAGTAAATGTACCTATAAAATAAGCATCAAATGTTTTTATTTTTCTACGAAATTATCAACGATAAAGTACTTTCCTCCAGCGCAGTTGTAAAAGACGTCATAAGACTTCTACACTAAATCGATCGTGCACCGCATCGCCCAAAAAATATTCCATTTTTCATGTGTACGCGTGAATGGCACTCAAAGTATCAAGAGGTGTTCTCATCCCGAGGCACCAAAAACTAGCAGAAAAAAAACCGCGCGTTACTACCACCGTAGTTCCCTGTGAACGCATAAAGTTTTATAAAAGTCCGAATATCATCCAGTCGGGTCTAACGGTTCCGCGCGCGGCAACGTTTGAACGCGTTGAAACGAAACGTGTAGATACCTAGCCACGTTAACGCTGTCATAAGTACATCCGGCGGGTTCATGGGTACGAAAGGGGTGGCCAGATAGAGGATGAAAAACGGTAACCAACACGCCACGAATCCACCTACGACCACTGCTAAAGTGCCAGCAGTTTTTGTCTCTTTGACCGCTCTGTTAATGCAACTCTGCTGATGACTACGTACGATCCCGGACTTTTTGCTGGTGGTCGCGGGCTCTGCTTCCTCGGACGTCCTGTCGCAGCTCATCGTATTCGTCACGCATTCAGCCCTTCGTATTCTAATACTCTTCGCCCGTTCGATCTGCGCAAAATCGATGCATCAACAGTGAAAACCTTAATAATGGTTCAAAGTTTCCGGGTGTAAGCAGTGTCCATTAGGAATGATTTCCCTATGGTTCGCTAGCATTGTAGCTGGTATCATTAGAGGTTAAAGCATTCACTGATTCAGGTTAACTTAAATCAGTGTTTTCTATTTAACCTGTTAACTGTGGAATTTAATATAAAAAATCTCTTGTTTGCGTAGAATTAGGATACGTGTTCGCATATTTATATCAGTCAAAACCGACTTAAGCTTTTAATGAATAATGTTTATAAAATTTAATATACGTCAAATTGAAGGGGTCCGTAGATGTAGTGTTAAATCCTCGCCATATAATAAAACTCATGGTGAAGATTTTTAATTTAGTTTAATAAAAATCTGTATTAGTCATCACATATAAGTCGAACTATTTTTCTATTCGAGAGGCAATCGAGGATCTGCTAATGACGTAAACTCTTGGACTGCCCCCAGATTACGGGAACGTGTCATTTCGGTTTTCGGTGAAGACATGAAGATTTTGAAAATTCTTGATAGTATGTTGAAGAAACAAGTGATTTATGTTTACATAGATTGTGTATAAGGTGAGCTAATTATTTGTTAGTAGTAGTTTCCTATGAATTATAGCAGATATTGATTTTATTTTTGTTAATTAAATAGAACTGGGAATGTTTGGTAAGTAATACATTTTTCTGAAGTAGCTAGAGCAATGAAAGTTTTCCCTATAGTTTTCTTGAAAAAAAGTATATTAATTAATTTTTTTAATAATTGGATTTTTAAGTTAGATCACTTTTATTGAAGTCAGTAATATTAACTTAAACTTTTCTTCCAATGCATATAAAACATTGCATGTGTGGATATCAGTTTAAGAATAAATATATTATACTTATTGTTAGTTAATAAGACGTATATGACTGAATAATGTAACGTATAAAAATAACTTATTGTAATTTAGGACAAGTTTGTTCATAACCACTAGAATGACTCTTTGTAATGTTACTTTCTCTACTTTATAGTAATACTTAATTGAATGCAATATGTGAATAATATTAAATGTATAATAATCTTCGTCGAAAGACGCATAAGTGATTTTAATTATTTGCAATGTTAAAAATAAAAAGTTCAAAAGTCATAATTTACGATTGCCTAGTGAAGTTTATTCATTGCGCTATTTATTAAGTTTCCTCAAGGGAAATTCATAAGATGCTACCACTTTAATGAAATGAGGAGGACTTAAAGGAAAAAAGGAATTGCTTCTTAAAATTAAGTTGCAATTAATGTTTGCACAAAAACTATATAAGAATCGAACAAATACTCTCTGTACATTTTTATTCAAATTTAATATTCTATAATCATGAATGTAATTTCAATATTTTTTTAATGACATATGAAGTGCTACTTGAAAAAATGATTGCAATATTATCTGTTAACATTTTTCTTCATAAATAATAAGTTTCAATTTGTTACAGAATAAAATTTATGAAAATTAAAATTAACAGTTCTTCAGAAATGTGTATATTTTTATAGTGTATAAATAGCTTACATATCAGAATTTTGACGCAAACATTATGGAAATAAAATTTTGTATATTCTGATTTGAGGCAAATATAATAAATATTCAATAGTTTGAAAGTGCGTTCACAGGTTTCGAATTACATAATGCAATTTTATTGAACGGCGTCGCAATAGATTTGTAAATATTCGTGTCAATAGATTCAAATTGCCAATCAATTTCTCATTTAAGCGTGCTTGTTCGACTTTCCGTACAACTGTAATCCAAGTCCACTTCACTCTTCTAGCGCAGTTAATAAATTCATTACAAGTCATACTACTAATGTTACAAACTTTGCTATTTTATTTTTCAAGTATTTATTTAAAAAATGCATTGACACGGAACACTAAAATTATAAAAAGAATTTAATTACCATTCTTTATAAAATGTAATATTTTTCAAACAGAAGTGGTGGAGAAAGTTATGCTTGGAAATTACAAATTAACAAACTCTTTCATGACAAAGAATAAATAAAATTTAATATAATCTCATTTTCTTATGATATTAAATGCAACAGTATCATTAGTACTTAAATATATACTCATCTTATTACTTCAAATTATAATAATTATTATAATACAGTAAAACCACATTGTATGCAACATAGAAATTTCGCACACATGTTCTAGGAATAGTAATCACCATGTCACCATTTTCTTCAATAATTCGTTTCTTCATAATGAATTTTGTATTTAATAAATTAAAACGAATTAACTTCTTGTAAATACCAACAATTTATACAATTATTTTTATTACGGTTTCGGACGGCGGTCGTCCGATTAAATTTTCTATACATAAATGTAGATACATAATCGTTTTGTCTTTCCTGTTGACTGCCTCGCAATACAAAGATAATAATAATGTTTCTTGACAACGGATTCTGAGACAAAAGAAAGCACAGACTTCCTATCGTGTAAACATATATACTGGAAACTAGAACTGAAAGTAGGAGCTGTATTTGCGCGTGAACAACTTTTACGATCGTTAAATGCATTCCTTACCGAAAGTATTGTATAGGTCACTAAATCCTAAGAACAATGGCAAGTGCACTTGATTTAAAAATTGCGAGCAGCAACCGTCATTAAAAAAATATCTTACTAAAAATTTGTACACTGAAACCCGTATACAAAATATTACACATAATATCTTGTACACAATTTTGGATATTCAATATTTTATGGTATCTGTAATTGCAAAAGTAATTAGTTAAAACCACATATTCTACTTAATTATTGTTCCATTGATGCAATATTGTATAATATTGACAAATTATTGCACCATTGGTATAATAATTCTAAAATTCGTACAATGTTCTACCATTGATACAGTAATCCTAAAATCAATCATCTATTTTCGATCAGATTAACACAAACAACATACCAGAATTAATACAACACTTAATCACGTTAGATAATTTATACAAATAATTCTAAAAACTTGTACAAGATCATGCTTACCAAAATCTTTTTTCGTGGCTGCATGTTTTCGTTGCCGGTAGCTTCTAGGTTTCTGTGGCGGCTTGCGATCAAGCAAGATATTCTCCCGTAAACGTAAAGCATTACCAGCATCGGTAGAAAAAAGGATCCCATCGCGGAGAATATCACGTATGAGGAGTCCATATTGTACGAGCATTTTTTAGTGTCGCGATTTGTTGCACGCGGAAAGCACCCCAGAAGAGGTGGGCTGGTTATAGCACCGGCTAGGACCCAGACCGCTACAATCATCAGACCAGCCAGTCTTTTACTTCGACGTCGTCGGCTATATATTAGTGGTTGAGTTATGGCTAGATACCTTAAACGGAAATTGAGCTCATTTAAGTATGCAACAAGGCAAATCGCCAGGGATTATTAACTCTTTGCAATCGTATGTCGAAGCAGTCTCGATATTTAAATTTATTCCAACTACAACGAAAGTTTACCAATTTTCGTCACCTTTCTTCGTGATATTACAATTACATTTATATTACATTTGAAATCTTTTTGAATAAAAGTATTGTATTCACTTATAGTTACCTAAATATAGTTAATTTAAATTAAAGAAAATGAATGCAAGTTTTGAAGTGAGGATTCTTTGGACCGCAAAGGATTAATACATTAACTTTTATTTTTCTTTGAATATATTGATTATATTGTTAGTGGTTATTGAACTGAAAAAGGTGTGTGTTATATAAAAAATTTGTTTACATTTTTTTCTTTTGAGGTCTCCTGTCCAAAAAGTCAAGTCAATAATGGAATTGATAGGAACATTCTTGTTTTGATAACTGCTGATATGTACATATTCGATTGTCTCGAAAATCATACAGTTAAAACATTGTTGATCTATATTCCTTATTTAGTTTTCCGTATAGTATAATTCCTTGATAATTGCATCACCTGTACTTAATCGGAAGTTAGTTAAATATATTTATTTTTCTCGAAAAAATTTCAAAAATCAGAACGGTTTATTGTTTGTGATTTATTTTCCCATGTAGAATCGTCCTCTTTTCGATTGAACACAGTTGTATGTTAGTAGTTGTACGAACACTTAAACAATACAACTTTTAAAATAATTATGTTAGTCATTTCGTAGTATTGCTACAGTTGCTTGAATAATACAAGTTAGTGTTTCATACAGGAAAGAAATTGGAAAACTTCTTTTGATTATACGATACAAATTTATATTGCATCTGTAATGTCTTCCTCATTTACCTTTCAAAACTTACATATTATTCCACAGCTTCTTACAATAGCAACGTGACAGAATTGTTCAAGAAAACTGGAGAATGGAACGAAGAACAGAATATTTCAAAACATTCTAACAGAATATTCGAAATAATTCACATGTTACTGTAATCTGCATAAGAACTGTTGCACTCTTCATATTTCAAAATCATTTTATTACAAAATTTCATAAACAAAAATTTTCTTAATCAACCGTACAATATATAGCAAACAATTTTTTAAAAAATTCGTTCGAAAATTAAAATACTAAAAACGAAATCTTGGAAATAAAATTTTACCTATAGTCTGTAATATATCTGTCTAATACTGAAAAGCTAACTTTAAATTACACAATACAATAGTTTTATTTTAAACATTTTTTTTCCTTTATAGTATTATTGATGGAGAAAATTTAATTATGCAATGAATTCTTACATAATTCATTTCGGAGAAAAGAAAGATTAATAAACTTATATTCGATACTTTATCTGCAAGATAAATTGATTTTCAATAAAATATCTCATCCCTTCTCTTTAAAACATAATCTTGCTTAATAATTTCCTAACAAATTCATATATTATATTCCAACCTAAAAAGTTTCTCCAAGTAATCGATCCACAAAGTAACCACTGTATGAACGAGAACCGTGTATACAAGCTATCGATTATTAAAGTGTTGAGCACTACTAATTTTCGTTGATGTATCTGCTGCTCGTTCGGTCAACGAAGGTCGATACAAAACGAGGGGATGCAGGAACTGTGGAACGTGATCGGGGTGTTAATTCTCGGTATTTAAACGGTCTTTTCTTTTCTCCTGTAGAATACCCTATAAACTTCCGACAATTCACCTCCGTCGACATTCTTACCGATTAATCCTTTAACACGGAAGTACAACAAAACTCAATGCGTCTTAAAAATATTATTTAGTCTGACCCGACTGAATAGATCTATACTGGAGCGAAACATAACGAAATATTTAATTGACTCAATATTGTTCAATGATAATATAATACAAATATAATACAAATATAATAAATATATTACATATTGTATACATTATATTATACTATATTATTTTCGTATTATTATTATCTAATTTCACGAAACAGTGAAATAGCAGAGCTCGATTTAAATAGATCAGAAGTTGTTTTATATTCAACACAATTATGAGTATTCTCAATAAGCTATAATTAAATCCTTAGAATTAGAACACGATCATATCTGCACTCGAATGTGTTTATGTTATCACTTAATATTCTCAAATCGTGGTACGTAAAAGGAACGAGTTCAAGGGACAGGTTTTTTCTTTATACACTTCAAATTAACACTATAAATACCAGACGGGTCAAAATGACCAATTTCTAATTTCTTATTTTACAATTACTGTAAACTATAGATACTTTATGAAATGTATAATATATAGAGTGCAACTAAATTGTTGCGGACAAATGATAGGGCGTGTACAACTCACTAAACCTCAAAACTCAAAAATTTTTCTAGATGAAAATAGGTTTAGTTCAAAAAAAATGTATGGGATCTGAATCAATAACACCGAATTGTCTCGAAAAGTATCAGTCATACGAACAAATGTGTCAAACAAAAGTTACAGGATATGAAATACTACATGTCCAGTAATGGTCACGTCAAAATTCTTAAATAGAACCCCATATTTTCTATTCCATATTTTTAAAGCTGACATTCAAACATTTCCAAACCATAAACACGAAATTCTCCGTGTAAGGCGTTATCAAGATATCAGTATCCACATTTGTCGGTATATAAATAATATAAAATATATATCCACTAAATTCGAAGGTATGTATGTTACAACCCAGTACGTGTGATAACTCACCTGTCTATGGATATGGCGCATAACGATAGTATACTGGCAGTACAGAGGAGAACGTCGAGGGAAACCCAAAAGTCGCAGAGCACTTCGCCCAACTCCCAAGTACCACCTGTGAGCTTTGTCAAATTCGTTATATTAGTCACAGGATTTGGACTGCGGGCTGTTAGCAGTTCTTAAAGCACGCGAGGATTTTCAGTTTAGGGTCGGCCTCGCAACTCGGCCGTTCCTCGGGGAAATGACTCCGACATTCGGCTCGCTCGCATTGCAAATAGTTTCATAGGGAGTCTGTGGACTTGTTGATAGTGAAGTTTTCATGAGTTCGGCATAATATACGGTGTCCCGTTTTAAGTCGTGAACAGGTGTACTTGCGCAACTGCGTTTAATCGGTGCACTTGAATTTGAATAATTTAACATTAAGTTTACGGAACTCGTCGATTCGACGGATTTTCAATTTTAGAAACGTTATTTGCGAGAAGTTTAAATCGACTTTGGTTGATGCGAATACGTATCCTAATTCGATGTTTTTAGAGCTATAATTTCCAAGATTTTAATGAGTACCTGTTTTTGTAGCTATAATTTCAAAGACCTGAATGAACACATGTTTTTGTAGGAACAATATAATAAACTGAACACTAGACGCTCGTAATAATTATTCTTAATCCTCATAAACATTTTAATTACATATTTATATTTGCATTCGTTAGATATTTCAATTTATTAATTTAAGTAGTACAGTCCAAAAGTCGTTGCGTACGTAATGATTACAATATAGATACTTACAAGCAATTTTAAAGTTGTCATCGACATAGAGGATGATTCTCAATTAACTATTGAAAAAAATAAATAGACACTCATGTTTTGTGTAGTTGTCAATAAAATTACTATTCAAATGATTAAACCCTTTCTACTTCCTTCGAAGGTAAATAGTCAAATCAAATTCAAATATTTGAACAAAATCAGACGTCTGAATATAGAAATAATTAATTTGGAGTGACATGATCCAAATTTCGTAGAATATAACAAATTATAAAATCACTGAGAACAAAAATAGATAATTTTGAAATATTCTTTTAGTCTGTGTTCCCTTTCTTGTTTTCCTTTGCTCGACTTTTTTAACGTGTTTAACAAGATATGTACCAACTTGAAATAAGACACCGTGTATGCAGCTTGTACCGATTCTACGAATCCATTACATTGTTCCTTGTTCTTAATTGATGGCGCAAGAAACTTCAATGCTGTCAGCGCGAACTCATTTTTCACGTAATCTCCACTGAAACTTGGAAACATTGATTATTTAATTTCTAATGGAATGTAATTCTCACGCTGCTTTAATTTTCTAATTGAATAAAATTATATACTATATTTAATAAAAACTACCATAGTCCATATTTATGTTAATGATTAAAAGCTTCCAATAAAATTGTAATATTTTATGAAATACCTATTCTTTTATTTAACACATAAATATTCAATTAACTATAATTAAACTGCACACTTTTTCTCTTCATATTATACACAAATATGTAAAGCTACAGTGAAACACCAAATTCAACAAGAATTTATACTATTTTCGTTCCACATAGAATTTGATAAATCCTGAAATTTATAAAATAATAAATTTAAATAATATTTGTAAGATAATTATAACACCATATAAATACTCAAGTATAACAAATCCCTAGAAATAATTATTAAATAATAATCCATTAATTAGAACCCAAAGATCACTAAGAATTTTTACAACTAGATTTAAACTCTTAATAAACACTTTAACGAATTATCATAATCCAGCATTTCACTGTTCTAAGATCTAAGAAAACTTCCTTACATTACGCAAGCTTAGCTTTATCTCCTTAAGCATAAGCATATATGGATAAACGTGGAAATAAAAGAAATGATGCTCTGAAGGTTTTAATAAAGAAGTCTTTAAACAAAGTTTCAATATTTAGTTGCGAATGACGTGCGTGCATTTCACGCGTTTTTTTTATTATTACCCACGAAGAATGTTCCATGAGTCGCAGCATTACTCGGTTCATAATGCTTTTCATCTTCACGGACACTCAGTAACACGTAATGTAAGAAAATACGAGGAAGAAAATACGGATCGCCATTGTACTTGTTTTTCCCCTTTTCACTTGGAAGAACCGTATATATATCAAGGTAGCCGTGCATTCAATGTGTTCAGGGTATTGTACGTTTTTAATGCTTGATTCCATTACGTACAATACTTCGTGACGTTTCAAGGCGGATGGTAGACTTTCAAATTTTATAAAAAAGAACACAAAATACGAAGGAAATTGTAAGACTTTAATTTACAAATTTTTCCATCGAATTTTAAGCAATAAAGTTTTTCTCATTTAGAAGTACGCGATTAAACATTTCTCGTGGTGCTCTAATTCTCTTCATTTTGACTACTTTAATAGCTGAAATGTGTCCAATAATTTGAAGTATTTTTAAGTAACAATATAACAATTATCACAGCTTAATCCTTCCTATTCAAATCTATTTCATACATTCTGCATTGTAATAAACAATACTAAACACAAAATTCTTATGTTACTTCAAATTTGTTTTCCTACATTAATTGTATATGCAATAATAATTGTATAATTTCGAAAATTCTTATTTAGATACTGTTCGTACTCTAAATTTCTGTACAATATTTTGTACACCTTTATACAGTTTAAAATGAATAAAAATCAATTTGAATAAATTTGCATAAATTAAAATAATATTTAAATAAATTTTCTTTGCAGAGTACTTTTCATTATGGTAAGAAAGAATTATTTGAAGGACACTTTTCTTTCAGCATCTCATGTCGTCTCTGTCGCAGTAAAATACTTTATTGGTCTATAGGGTATAGATGATTGGACTACGTCGTATCGAACAGCATTCATTATGCCCAGACTCAGTTTTAATTTATATGCAAAATTGCTCTTCGCTGTTCAAGAAGAACGAGGGATCAATGTTGGCAATTGTCTCTAATGTAGGCGAGGTGAATGATAAATGCACTCAGAAAACAAAGGAGAAATTTACAAGTCCATTCCGAATGGTTACATTAAGGTTGGCTGATTTAAAAAATCCGGATGTCGAACGTTATTATGCTGACAGTATATAAATGGTCGTTTTCAATTCATATATCCAGGACATTATGATGTTTCAATGCCATTTGCTTTAATTCCGTGAAATCCAATCTTCATGACACTACAAATAACCGGGGAACCTCTATATATTTCGCATTTTAATAAAAATAAAAATACGTGTTGGGCAACTAACAATGAATTAAAAGTAATTTGCATCATTAACAATAAGTAATTTACAGATATAGTATATATATTTATTATGTCATTTTAGTAATTAAGAAAAAATAAAATTAATAAATAAATGCTATACAACTTCATGTAAATTAACAATTGATACCTTTATTTCTTTATTTCGGGAATATTAAGTTAAGAATTCTAACTTAATTTTACTTCGTGTAACCATATTATTTTTAAGTCAATCGAAAGGTGATTTTACACTTTTCGATAAGCAATAATATCAAACTATTGAGTAAATGTTCATAAACAATAATAGCCATTATTAAATTACTGATGTAATTGATTAAAATTCGAAAATTCGAATTAAAGCTTTAGGTGTGTGTTACAATACAATTTTGTATATATAATACAAAATAAGTTTGAAAATAAAAAGTGACATTTATGTTTTTACAGTAATGACATATTGTTAACATTATTATAATAAAGAGAAACCAAAACTGATTACGGTTACGAAGTAAATTTATTACGGAGTAACTTATACTTTAAATTTTGTGATTTATTTAATCTCTGAATATATTACAAAGTATTAAATATTTTGACATTGAAAAAACCAGTATCTAAAATATAAGGTAACACGTAAGTGAACAAAAATTTAATTTCAGCATTCTCATTTTTAATATATAACCCATATAAATGACAATGTGTAATATATAGATATACCCACAGTTTAACAATTAATTTTATATATTAATGAGAGTATTCCCAGTGATGCGCAGCAGTTAAATATTTTGATTTTTAAAAAATCGTAAGCTGTTGCTGATCCGGCTTTCGATCGTTATCCAGCTGCAGCTATAGATATTCTGTTTTTATGGCGTGACATATTGCCTTGATGTTTTTCGGATACCGTAACATACACTGGTATCTGGGGACATTCATTTTATATAGGAAAAGTATTTAAAATACTTTTGGATCAACAACTTATGTTTCCCAGGAGGGACAAGCAACAAAGGAATTTTCACTTCATTATTATTGACCTATACTATTCACATATGATATATGATACATAATGAGTAGGTAACGGTAAATCTACGTTTGCAGTAATTAACAAATATTCAAAAGCATCGGATGACTCATGTAATAAACGTAATAAATATGTTATCAATTACTTGTACAGTAATTTGAAGAATTAATTACATAAACATACATAATATTACATGAAATTAATAATGTCATTGAAAATATTGTTCTATTAGTATGAAATGCAAGATTTGTTACAATTTTTATAGTAATTCAAGTATATTAAAATTTGTCATAAAAAATATAATTTTTTACTTGATATCGCACACCAAAAAATTATTTTTAATCATTTTTAATTGCACAAACATATGCAGTTTAATTATGAATACAAAATATGAAAGTTGAACAATGTTGAACAACAAATAATGCAATTGAACCATTAGATAAAATTGGTGATTTGACTATTTTGAAGAATGTTTCCAAGTTTCCTGTCACACAGTCCTTACCTCTGTCTTTTATCTGAACATATATTCAGCAACAAAAGTATTCGAACGTTATATATGCTTAAATACAATTAATATTCCATAATATGTTTATGTATTAACAAATATTTTTTTCAATTTTATTGCACGTATATACCATGAATGGAGTTTGTTTCAACAGATAGCAATATACGATGTACAATTTTTTGAAAATTTGTCCTATGATCCCTTGACCTATAATTTCTTCCTTAACCCTTTGCACTCGGGAGGTGATTCTCAGTCATCACTTGGTTTGATACAGTTAAATTATAAATTTTGATATTTAATATTGAACTTTGTATAATGTGTCACTATGTGAAATGTCATAGTAAAATACTTTTGTCCCATAATTTATCGATTAAATTAGTTACATTATTCGCAAAAAACATCGTCTATATTTTATCAAAAATGTTGAATATTTCTAGCAAAAAACTTTCCAATGCAAATGGTTAATTGTACTTAATAGAACTATTTTATCATTAGAAAAAGAAAAGAATTTGATGTTTATTCTGTATCTACGTTTACTTTAAAGCTTAGAGATTGATAATAAACAAGTAGTATTTCATTTATATGAAAAATATATAAATAAAATTTATATTTACCAAATTCGATTGAAAATTTTTGTCACGAGTTTGACTCGATGTTAATTCTTGATAACGATAATTTATTTCTTACCATGCTTCAAATACTTTCGTTGCTGACTGTGTGTTTCAACGTTTCTACCATATTGGAATATATCACTTATGTACCTGTAGTAATACTGCCGGTGGCATGACGGCCAAGCCAACCAATAAATCCGCAGCGGCCAGACTGGATACGAAACAATTAGTAACGGACCTTAGGCGTCTAGTTGTTATCACAGCGGCAATTACTAGGGTGTTGCCTACCTGCAGGACAACAGAAAATACGTATGATAGTAATTTAAGATTAATCGAGGTCAGACGTGAACAACTCGTTGCCCTTACGAGCTGATGCTGCGACACTATGGCGGAAAACTAGTTGGCAACGCAAGGTTAACACGTTGATCGCCACGAGTATTTTGATCATTTTCTAACATAGAACATAGAAAATATTTACAAACTTCCGAGGAAATATTTTAAATTGAAGATTGGAACAGGATCATTTAAAAGTTTCTAATAAACATAATATTTGATTATATTTGACAGGAACGGTATATAAAAATGTGTGACAAAATCAAAATTTAAATACTTCAAACAGCTCGAACATTTCATTTTTCAAGCATTACACGAGACCTCGCAGTTCAGAGTAATAACAGTGTGATGGTTTTTGAACGCAACTGTTTGATGATTGTAAATATAAATTTCAATACAGGAGTACGTGCTTAATATCGAAACAACAAGGATGCATGTTCAGTATTATATAGAATCGATTATTTGCCAATATTTCTTAATTGTTTCAATTTTTTACTACCACTTCAAAAGATTTGATAAATTACAACATAGTATACAGTATCGCCAATATTTATGAAGTATCCTTACTGTTATTGCCGATTATATACCGTTACTAGACAATTTTGTATTAATAACAATTAGAGGTTCAAATAACTTTTAAAATAACTGTTAATAACACAAAGTAACTGCAACAGTTACAAAAACCAAGACGATATTATAAGAAGAAAAAGGCGTCTGCTTTATATCGGTTTCACTTACAGTTCTACGAAAGAGTTATTTAGATAATTTCAGACAGTTATTTCTAGCTATTTCTTCCTGTGTGCAATAGGTTTACTGTTAAGTACTCGTGTTTACCGCAAGAATGTTCGAGCGTTGTAGGCGTTTTGCACACGGTGTGCCGACGTATAAACTTATCTTTCTCGAAGGACCACCCGAAACGAACAAAACGTAGGAACAAAACGTAGGAAATGAGTAGGTGCTTAGGTATGACTAGGTTCTTGTTGTGGTTTGTAATATTCTGATATTGTACTATCTGTGATCTGACTTCCTAGTGTCTGAACCTCCCAGAATCGTATTCGACGATGCCTCGGTAGAGTCGTCTTAGCGGAGGTGAAGACGTTCTGGTTGGTTTTTGTAAATGTAGAGGATTGTGGAAGGGAGACAAAGTTCCCTCCCTTCCTCCAATCCTTGACCGTGGCAGATAAAAGGCAAGAAACGCGTTGGCCTTAATAACACATGCTAAAACAGGCGGATTAGAGAGTTAGAAATGCTGATGGCTGGCTGCCATATGTGAACAGGGAAAGCTGCAGTAAGGATCGCGGGCCTTATGGGTTCATGGATTTATAGCTGCCACGGATCCTTCTCGTAATACCGAAAGGACGGTTGCAAGTCGCGACGGGACAAAGACTCTTATTATTAAAGAAATCTAAAGAATGTACAAATACCTCTTAAAGAAAGATAAAATGTATACAAATCTAAAACTATGGTAATCTAAGGACCCGGACGAAACGGGAAGGCTCTAAGTGGCCTTAACATTTACTTTTTAAATAAACTTTGCCAAGATTTATGTAACGGTATAGTTAACAAAAATATCTATAGAATAAAGTTATTTTGATTTTCACACATTGAAAATATTATAATTCATAATTAGAAAAAAAACAAAGTAAGAGTAAAATAAATGTAGCTTCTGTAAGAGTTTCTAATGATTCTGATATATGTGAGTTTACTTCAAATAAACGAATTTAACAATAAAGAAGCATACTGTACACATATGAATAAATGAATAGCGAATAATGCAACTAATAAACCATGACAAATAATTCGATTATATTTCTAAGCAACTAGCAAGTAATTTTAATTCCAATTAAACAGTTAAAATCATTATTTATCGAACTATCAATCAAATATTTTTAAGTAGTGGTATGTAACGTGACTTTAATTGCATATTAAGTTCCAATTATATTTTAATGAGTAATCCAAATCCATTAATCATCAAACAATTGATTAAATAGTTTGATTTTTAACGGTAGTGTTTTCACATGGAAGAATAATTGAATCCTGCACTAAATAATGTAAAATAAGAGTTTCTTAGTTTTAAAAGATAAATTATTAAAATATCTATTTTAAAAATAACAAACGTTTGCACTACATATTTAATATAGGATACAAGTATTCTTCTCTGTAAAACATTTTCAAAGAAAATTTAAACTTTAAATTGTACAGGTCTCCTTTCTGCAGTTTTTCAGGTACAGTGATGTTCTTACTGAATTACAATGTGAGTATATTTGCATGTTGAATAACACATTTTAAATTCCTGAATTATAATATACAGCGAAACGCATAAACGAAGGTGATGTTTCTTTAGCAGAGAGATTCTTTTACGAAGTGTGTGCAACGTTGTCGAAAGCGGTACATTAAAGAAATGTGGAATAAGTGATTGTCAAACACAGAAACGGAGAAGAAAAATAACAGTGATAAAATAATCAAGATGGAATAAGCACTTACTTCTTCGAATAACGCAGCAAGTTGTAGAAAATCAGTTGTTTCAACAGCGAGGAATATTTGTTTAACAAATGAAACATTTTAAATATTGCGAAAGCTACGACAAAAATTAAGAGGAATTTGTCTGTTCAATGGTGGACGTATGATAAAAAGTTTGAAAAGGAAGAGGAATTGCAGAATCCAAAAAATTATGAAAATAATTTTCTCGAAATTCTGGGTGACATGTAATACAACAGGAAATAAAACTGTGATTCCAAACTTCATAAAACTTTCAAATATCTTGGTTTGAGTATTTATGTTTTATATTGATTCTCTACGGGTGGGGAAAGAAGTAGTGAAAAAGCCCAAGAGTTCCAACTAAATGAAATTCTTTCAAGAATATTCCTCGACGTTCTATAATATAATGGATACATCATTCATTGATCGTTCCATAGTAGTTTCGAAAAAAGCAACTATTAAAAATAATGTAAAACTATGTAGTCGAAAAATGAGGAGAAATTAAATGAGAGACGTGACAGTAGAAATGTCTAGTAACAAGAATCAACTTCTTTTATTTTTGAAACACTGATAATGGAAACTGGTAATTCACATCTTCATTTAAAGCGTCACGTTGCATTCACTAAAGTTATTAACATTATTACCACCGAAACTACCAGATGAATCAAAACAACAATCGTTATAGCATACAGTCAACGATGTATTTAAAAATGTAACAATAATATAATAAATGTAATATAACATAGAAAATAAATAGAATATAATATCTAATAAAAGTATAATATAATAAATACTGTTATCACTCATCAAATAATTCTGTATAATTTAATGACACACTAAATAAATCCCTTTTTCAAGGAAAATCTCAAATAAAGCATTCAAATAATAACTCTCGAATAAACGCTAACAAAAGTTTCCTTTAGTTGCTTTGAATATAAACCATTGCTTACTATAGTAACGATGATCAACATGGTGAATAGTCCAGCTAAAACGAGGTCTGTCCATTTCGGCAGGTAATATTCCACCTGCGAGTCCTGATCGTTTGTCGACACAGTATGATTCAATTGATAAATATCTCCATAGTAATTGCCCGTTTGATTTTCCATGGTGCTTATCCCCGGTCCATCGACGATGACTTCTGCTCACCAGTTTCCGCATCTCCGGACATCATAAAGCTCCCTGAAAAATAAATTAATCAGAATGATTACTGTGTGATGGATCGCAAAGAACGTTGCGTCGTTTCGAGAGTTATTACCGTTCTGGATTACTTCTTTGGCGTCAGTCGGGACAGGGAGCTTACGCTACGCCAATACATTTCACTATTGACAACTCAAAGCTACATCATATGATTTACCCTTTAGCTTTTAACCCTTTGTGGTCGAAAACGTTCCCAGCTTTTCATTCCTAAAGAAAGTGCATCAACATCGTTGAATTGAAATGCACTTTACTAGTTCGTTTTACTAATTTATGATATGAATTGGACATTACAAATGAATGTAATATAAATCAACGACTTATGCAGTGATTTTTAGGTGTATGATTGAATATCGAATCTTGACGTGGGAGCACGAAAGATTTAACCATTTAACGGTCATGTCTGCAACGTAAAACGGGCTTGAAGGATTTGCGAAGGATTAAACTTGAATAATTTATTAATATTCAAAATTATAATTTATTTCTTCTATATAAACGAAAAGCATTTGTTAATGCTCAAAAGATTCATTTTTCACTTTCAATCTTTGTTAATATAACTATTCATTTGTCTAATACCTATTCTGCTGTTTGTTGAGCTTTGGTTAGAGCAAATTGAATGGTAATAATTTTATATTGATAATTAAATGGAAACAAAGGTAATGGTTGAGTTGAAGTTCGTATATAATGTTTCTCGCCAAGAAAATTTTTCCGTTAATAAAGGTTCATAAGAAAAATTGTTTAAATATAGACTTTACAATTCTAATCACTTGGAAGATTTAGGAATCATTATAGTGACAATGTAAATTGTAAGATGCAATTTGTAAGTTAGTCAGTTAGTTGTTAGTAGCAGGTTGAGAGGTATTTATTAAAATTTTGTCTATCATAGTGTTTTAAAATCGCTTCATTATGATTGCTAAAAACCTAGAAAAAAATATCAGATACTATCTACAAATTGAATTATTAATTGAAAGATTAATTGAATTATCATTACAAATAGAAACGTTTTATGATTTCTTTTATATATCTATGTAGACAATTTAAAGTCAAAGAACATTCTATTGTTCCTCTTTTGGAGAAACTTATCAAATCGCATAGCAAATCGTCCGGAATGAGAAATGGTGGCCAATACTTTAATATACTGATGCTTTGTGTCTTAATGCGAGTCATAAATTTTAAAATATTTTTCACTTTTTAATCTTTATTACAAGGTTTATTCAAATAACACTGCTTTCATGTGACATGGTGAAACGTGTAGCTCAGTTACCAGCTCCAAGCAGCGCAACAGCAATTAAGAGCTTATTACTCAGTTATTAATTAAGGAGCCACTTTTAAAGTCAAGCATTTTGTAGAGCAAACTTCAAGTACTGTGGTAATACTTTTTTTCGAATTCTTCGAACCTAGCCTTTCGATATGTAAATGTTAAATTAAGAACTTGTAGTACTGGTATTATTAAATAACATTAGAAATAAATGAAAAGTTTCATAAGGTTAATAATCTTAAATATTGTTATTACAAATACCTTTCTTGTATCTTTCGTAACTATAAAGAAAAATAACAAACTATAATACTTCGTTCTTTTTTTAATCCAAAATGAATTAAATAAATAACTTTCTCTCTGTAATTTTATATAGATATACGGGGATTTGCATAGACATTATAATTTCAATAAATTTTCTGATCCTTTAGTATCACATTTTAATTAGTCTAGTACGAAGTAATCCTATAGCTATTATATTTATTTTTTGCTAGAATTCAATGCTAGAATTTTAACACTAAAACTACCGTACGGGTCAAATTAACCCACTTCAGAATTTTTATTTTGCAAGTATTTAAATTATTATGAAGGCGTGTTTGTGAAAGATTTTAAATGAAATTTGTGTATTTGTACATATACTATACTAAAAGAGTCTCAAGAAACGTATTGTTTTAATTTTTATAAAAAATTAGAAATTAGTCACTCTAATTGCTCGGTACTTTTTATATTAAAAAAATCAAGCGACTTGGATTCCGCATTGCCTGCGATTAGAGGGTTAATGAAGTAGAATAAATACGAGTGCACAAATATTTACTGCTTTCAATCTCTGTATTCGAGTTTCTCATTGTTGATCCATCGTCTCTGTCACATAAGTTTCGAAGTGATAGTTGTCCGTATTATGTATCTTGATTCATATTCCTATAACAATGGAGGATAATTGACGGACAAGTTTAAAAGATACACGCTGACGTTTTAACCGCGCGTATACATTCACGACGAATTACCGGATGCAAATGCTCGGCATGTATGTTACCTGGAATCTAAAAGATTCCGGTAGGAAGAACGTTAAATGAGGACACCGAGGAAAATAAAGCAATTCGCAAACGATAAGAGCGGATCGTTTTAGTATACAGGGTAAGCGCTATAGAAATACGGCTCATACGAATAAAGCACTGAAGAATACCTCAAGCACTTTGTTCTCAGTGATTCAGCAATGTTTTCATCAAGCAATGTTGCATCAACGAGAAAGTTCTCTGACGAAGTAGATGGTATTATATATTAGGTTTCGGAAAAAGCTCGTGCGGGTGCTTAAATCAAGATTAAAAGACGGAAAACAAATTTGTAGAATAATTTCATTTTACTTGATACGAATGACATAAACTTTGCTGCTAATACCAATTTCAATTATTAAATGAGAATGAATATGTTCAGAAATGTATTATTACAATTTCGAGAAACATCACGGTATCATGGATTGAAGATCTTAATATACATGCATTCTATGCAATTAATTTCAGCTGTAACATAACCGTGTAGAACTGTGTCATTATGTACGGGTAAGTCAGACTGGCGGCCTACACCGCACTACTAACTCTGAGAAGCGAATTCGATTCGTATTACGATGAAGATTCTAAGATAATCTTACACTGCTAATGGATATAACGAGTACATTAAACGCACTATTACACAAATTATTTTCTGTTATAAATAGAACGTGTTGGAACATTCCCGCGGACAATTAACATATTTAGCCAAGGTAAATAGAAAATGAATTATATATTTTTATCTGCAGTTTATATCTATCTTATAAGTAAAATTGATTATTTTCTAATGGATAAATAATGGACTTCTATGAGCACAAGATAATCTATTTTTGTTTTACCTCCAGCTATAAAGCATTTTCATTACCTCTTTAGTTGTTTAATTTTCTCTTAATTAGAACGTTAATATTAACCATCAATATTAAGTATATTTGAATTGCAGTGTGATTATTTAACAGTTCAACTTTATTTAATAATATATAACAGTATTTAAATTCAAATTAATGAATTCAAATTATATGTGAGATTGAATTTATGAAAATGCCGCTTGAATTAGTAATAATTGAGTTTTAGTTTGACACGTTTTTCGTGGAAATATAACAGTTGTCACACGCAATGCCAACAATATTTTAAATTTATGGAATAACATTTATCGTTGTTACTCGAAGAATTGAAACTAAATTATTAGTGTGGTTTCCATTGACATGTTTCTCAACTATTAAACCAATCAGTAACGTTTCGGCGTATTGTCCCTGTTTTTACGATAAGTCGGTTCTGCATGAATCAATTATGCAAATGAATAACAGTGTGCGTTCGGGTTTAAACTCAGTGCCCTCTCCAATTCATTTGTTTGTTGTTTGTCCCGTTTCTTTGTAAACATTATCGCCCCTTGAATCACAACCGTTTGTTTAAATATTTCAGAAATGTTAAATTCACATTTATCGTGCCATATGTTTAAGCAGACAATCAAGATTTATTAATTAGCAACAAATATTTTAAGGTCAATTAATGTGAGTTATTCTATTTACGTTTAATCTGAATTTATTCATACGAATACAGTAAACACTCCACTATGTAAATATGTAATCTTTACGCGATATATTTATTAGTAAATAAATGAAAAAGAATTGTCAGTATTTTGTTTTTTAAGAAATTGAGTTTAGTAATAAATTGAACAGAACCAAATCGCTCAAAAACTAATCTATTGAGAAACTTCTTTTCTATTTCTTGTAAATATATTCTTAATTATATAAACTTTTAACCTTTCTCTGTGCAAGCTAATATATTAATTACAAATATGTAACACTCAATAAAAGTCGCATTAACCTCTTGCGTTGGAAATTAATTTAGGGATTTAAAAATGTCTTGCGCAAAGAATTTTTTTTTTCATCTATTTTACGCCGATATGTACACTAATTCTGTTTATTAATAATTTTGTATAGAGTGATGCATTTCAAAACAGGCCGGATTCTCAAGTGGTATACTGAATCTTGTACAGAAATCTATTTAACCATTCTTCTTATGTACTTTTATACATATATATTTTTATAAATATATTTTATTTTTTGTCAGGTGTCAATAATATTTTTGCTGTAATATTTCTTTTTAAAAAAATCAAAAATCAAAAAAATGAATAATTTTTTCCCAATTTACTCTATATGTAATGCAACAAGACTATTAATGTCTATAAAACGTCATTACCAATTTTAGAATAAAAACATCTCGACCTGCGTAGTACGTATTTCCAGCACAAAACGTTAAATGGGAAGAAATATTAGCAGTTTATAAGAAACTTTGGAAAGCATCACGAAAGTATCGACACAAATCGTATCCATAGGTGGAACGGGCTCAACGTTGCTCGCAATTAATATCCTTAATCTGAAGTGCCAAATAGCCTGGACACCACAAGGATTTTCACAAGAAGTTTTCAACTAAATCTCGATTGAAACAGCAAGTTTGTCAAATTAATTGCGAGAATACCATGGTTGGCTCCAGTGAAACTGTTTTCATTTGGCATCCGCTCTATGGATGCTTTGGAATTCATCTGCATTGGCTGTAAACAGATTATTCAACTAAATGGACTGCACAAATTAATCGTATTTGGGAGAAAGTGCATAAATCGATTTACAATTTCACCGTAGTCGATGTTTTCAATATTCTTCAATTTAAAAGCTTTTGTGTGAGTGCTA